CGAAGAGTTCGAAACAGAGAGCACCATCAACTAAAGCATCCCAACAATGGAGGAACGCCCCCCTTCAATCATCAAGCTCATCTCTCTTCCGACCCCAGTCCTTTACCGCCAGCGTCTCCATCTCCATCTCTATGCCATCGCTTCAAATGCCTCCCCAAGTTATCCCTCCTCTTATACTTCTTCCCCTTCCTCATACACTCCTCAAACGGGCAGAAAAACTCCTCTTCTCCGTATACATCGCTGTGTACGCTATGTTGATGCCGGGTGAGATCCTGCTGCCGACCACAGGTGTAGTCGCATCCTTGGATTGGGCAGGGCATGGGGCGCGTGTGGTATTTGATGTGTTTGCTAGGAGGGGATGAGGTGATTAGTTTTAGGTAGGGAGGCTGGGCTGTGGGATGTTTGCTTGGGATAGAGGGAGAGAATGGGCATTGAGATAAAGGATGGGTGGAGAAGAATGGGTGAAGATGAAAGGGGGCGACGAACTTCATATCACTAGCACGAGAGAATCCTTTTTGGCAGTGAGAGCAAACGTGTGACTTTACTTGGGAACTTGGGCTCGAAGAAAAGCTGGATGGACGAGAGGGGAGTTGCGGTGAGGACTTCGCTTGTGGTGAGTCGTGGAGAGTTCTAGATTTGAGGAGTTTGGTGAGTGGTTCGGGTGGTGGAATTCCTTCCTCGCCGGCTGTTAACGGTGACTGTAGAGATTTGTCTAGCTTGCTTGGAGTCGATTTTGGCAATGAGAGGGGAATTTGGTGAGTCGTTTTCTCAGTATCTTGCCGCTCTGGATCATCATCGGTATCATGCTCTGCATCCGATTCCGAAGGGTGATTCAGGTCTTTGCCGGTGTCTTGACCATCTCCAGTCTGTGAGAAGACTATCAGATCGACCGGAACCATAGAACGGACAGGTATATGAGCGTGCTTCCCAACACCCGCCGCTGCGTTGCTGACTTCGGTACCTTGAGTCTCCTCTACTTCATTGTCTCCGTCCAGAGTCATATCTAAATTGATCAGATCCGAGAGCCAGTCCTCGAGACTTTCTTCATATCCCTTATTCGGATGTGGTCTTTCAAAGCCAAGTTTTGCTGCATTGGCGGCGCTCTGAGCAGATTGCTTCAGATGATTGTAGGGAAGTCCTAGAGTCGACTGGATACTGTTGAAACGCGGGTCATTGTCGAATTCAGATGATGAGTCGCTAGCAACGTTTTCAAGATCCCAAGCCGTTTTGGAAGCCCCGAGATCTTCCAAGCTTTCGTTGGAAGAGATTGAGCCCCGATGTATGAAGCGCGGTTTGTTGAACTTGGAGCGAACTGGGTCGAAGGAAGCAGGTTCGTATTGGATTTCACATCCCAGATCAGCGAGAGGAGTAGCGAGCCAGAGTATCCTCTCTTTTCGCTGTGCCGTCATCGTAAAATTACTAGTTACTTCGCGGTCATTTAATTCGTCTTCTGTCCCACCCGAGAACCAATCATTTGGAAAGTAAGATTCCGCCCACAGGAGCCCGCGCAGAGCGAAGTCTTCTGGGAATGGACGAGCATTGGCCCCTTCTGGGATTGGAAAGTTCTCTCTCTCGATTATGCCGAAAGGCGTGTCATAGTCTTCCAGTAAGTGATTGAGCGAGTCTGCGAGCAATGTCCATGGGAAATCCATTTGTGCGAGGTGCAAGGTCCGGGATTGAGAGGCCATGTAGTGCATAAACACTAAGAAGGCGTGGATACCAGGTAGGATATCTGGATCATCCCTTCTGAGCAGGAATATGTTGAGTGTTGCGTAGGCTAGGTTCCTCGCGGCTTGAAAGGATTCACTGCACTGTATCTCTTCGGGGTAGTGGCCAGACTCCTCGAACTGGTCGTTCAGGGCTTCCATGACAGGATTGTCACTTGAGCCATAACCAAGCATTGCAGCACTGTTTGCAATTGCAATATGATAGCTGTCTTTGAAGGATTTCCTGTCGACCCTGGCAAGCTGATTCTCCAACAACAGAATGAAGTCCTGGCATGTAGGCTCGAAGTGGTCCAAATCTTGGTTTGTAAGAATCAGCCTGTGCGCTCTCACGAAAGCCATATTAAGAGCTGGTGACCGAGAATACTCGTGATCGGGTTCGTTATTGGCAGCCAAAATTGATTCGAAGAGTCTAAGAATCGATTCTCGAGCAGAGTGAAATGGTATAGCTACACAGAGGGATTTGGAGTATAGAAATAGTTGCTTCAAAGCATTTGGTCGAGCCAGGATTGCCAGGTGGTGATATAGCCGGCCAGTCGTTGGTGCTCTCTGAGAGGCTTTGGAATACCAATGCTGGCCCACACCTGCCCAATGTCCGCGGACTCTTGTATTATCGTCTTCAATAGCCATCCGATATCGCGCGAGCTCAGCTAAAGACTCTATCCAGGTATCTCCAAATGCCGGTACTGTCTCGTATAACAATGCCATCATCGAATATGCAAGATAGATAAAAGCCAGCATATGATCTAGGGAATATGGTAAATGATGCCTGAGTAGTTCGAGGAAGGAGTGTATGCCATGCCGCCACATCCTCTCTGGCATCGCATAGTTTGATGCCAAGCGCCGGAGGGCTGGACTGGCAGAAGGGTGTTGGGATGCCAAGAAAAAGTCGTGATGCTCATGGAGTAAACAACGATGAACAGCGATGAGAGCCTGCCATTGGTCGTTGTTGAGTGTTGTCGAAGATCCGGAGCTGAGCGCCAAAGCTTGTTTATTGTCGACCTCGATACATTTCGCCTCGACCATTACGAGGCCAGCGTAAATACCTTTCACTTCGGCAACCAGCTGCTCCTGCGACAAGTGTATCTCTGTTGATCCGACCATGTTGTATTTTGCTTTTGCCGTTCGAGGTTCTGGAGCTTCCGCCTCTTGCGTTTTCTGTCGTTTCTTTCTCCTGTCCGCATCGAGTGTAATGAGGCATAGCGCACCTGCTGCCAGTGCAGCAGTCCCAACCCGTGGTAACAAGCTCGCCTTCGGCGAACTGAGCGGCGGCTCTTCATCTTTCCGAGGCCCAACCTTTCGTTTCCTACCACTGTTTCTTCTCTGATGAGCGATCCACAACTGTTCAACATCAGGTTGTGTGTGATTGCGCCGAGGAGAATCGTCATCTGATGTCGTGCTTTCAGCCTCGATGCCTTCCCCAATTGCTAGACGGTGCGACCACGACCGTTCCCGGACAGGAGGAGTAAGATTGGCTATTCTTGTGACTTCCAGACTACTTTGAAGAGTAGCATTGGAGCGAGAAGGCCCTGGAGCTCCATCGTCAGCGTTGCTGAGCGAAGCTTCCCAATTGACGGCCGATGAGTTCAAGGGCCCTCTTGACGATGCAATGAATTGTTGATAGCCATCAGTGGAGTTCAAAGCGAACCGGTTGGTTGGATAACTTGAAATCGACGGTGCTGGAATGGAAAGTGCGACTGTGTCAGGCTGACTAGCTCCTCTGCGTCTTATCAGTAACAGCTCTCGAACATGCAAGAAGTACGTTGGCCTACCGCGTAATGAACACAGTCACTTCTGCTGAGAAGGTGAGAACCGGCTTGACGATTTCAGGTGAAGTCAAGTTCCCATCTTGCAAGCTTGCGCAAACAAGGAGCTGGAATAGCAACAAAAGCAAAACGGCCTGAGCATCCATGTTGTTTGTGGTGAAGCTTGTTCTTGGAGAATAGATTGGGAAGGTTCGGGTGTCATGCCAAACATTGGAGGCAAGTACCCTTCATCAAGTACCACATGGGCTGCCGATAGAGAAGGAGTTAATGTAGAGCAGTGTATTGCCTCGTAAATATAAGAATGAATTGGAGGTGATTTATTAGGGAAGAGTTGAGGCACCCTATCCTCGTGACCTGATACAGCCAGATCGTTGTGATTGGCTGTCTGTTTGGAGGCACCCTACAAACGCCATAAGAGCGTAGAACGCTTGCTTTGGAGCTAGCAGTGGAGGCACCCTAATACGCCCAGCTCATGCGGAGACTCATGATATCTGATTCGACGGTGAGCACAGTGCGAAGCCTTATCATGTCTTGCGTTCTGGTTTCGATTGCCTGCATACACGCATAGAAGTGCTGTAAGCCAGGATCGAATTCACTTAGAGCCTTGCTGTCAAAGACCCGTAAGAACCTTCTGGGGCCGGTACAAACCAGGTCCTACTGGGTAGAACTGCGAGGTACCTAGGTATACTCGAAATTGGTGTTTCGAGTCACGTGCCTTAAAATTTGAGGGATTGAACCGTTTGGGTTCTTCAAAGAAATGCGCTGAAGCTTGCCTGATGTTTCCTAAAGAATGGGAGTAAATGTTAACGTGGAGAATAGAATTGTTAATGGCAAGATTTAGCAGTCTTGAAGCCCCCATCCTTGTTGGAGATTGGGAGTAAGTGAGAATACCCTGAGGAGTTTGAAAGAAATCCAGGAAAATGCGAAACTTTGATACCATAGAATTTCCTCTGACTTTAGCTTCTGCTGAACCGGCTTCATGAGGGTAGAAAATATGCCCATTAGAAAGTCTTCGGAAACTTTGAAGTGATGGACGTGGCTTTGGTTGAACGTCGCTTAAGTTCAACCTGACTGGATGTCTATCTGTGTCAACCAACACCAACCTGACGCAGATGATTCATTTAGGCTTATGCTTCATGGGCTAGAATATAATAGAAAGCTTCTCAACTGCGCTAAAAGTCCACAACTTGAAGTGGCGATACGAATTTATGGATGCGATGGAGCTCGCTTAGCTCTTGCCAGCCGTGAAGCAAGATAACCAGGCAGAAGAGGAATTGCAGATGTCATACTCAAGCACACATAGTTAGTGATTTAAAACATGCAACATCTCGGCTACGAAGCTGTTTTATATAGAACGGGGTACCTTCTCATCCCTCCTGCCTCGCTTATGACAGCTCCACCAACCAAAGAGCTGCCGGGGTCTATCCCCAGCCTTCTAACCCTAAAGACCCACTTCAGTAACACAAAAAGATATCCAAATAAGAGAAAGTGACGTCATCTAATCAAAATAGGGCGCATGGTTTAGTGGTATAATAATCGCTTAGCAAGTTGATCTTTATTAACAAGTTTGTGATTGGTCCTGGGTTCGATTCCCAGTGCGTCCAAAAAAAAACCTTCCGTGATTTAAGATTTTGTTGGTTTTTTTTTAAAAAAAAAGAAGGGCTGCTTCGGCTGAACTTATATCTAACTTCTCACATCATATATTTGGAAGGTAAAATTATTTCTTTTCTTTGGCTTCATTTTTATATGAGCTGGATATTCCTCGGAAAACGTCAACCTTGCTACCAACCCCCTTTGCTTCAAGTTCTTTGAATGTGAAGAAATCGAGCTTGGGGAGCCCCTATTCTGTCCATCGCCTATATGGCACTAACGCACAAGTACTTGCCCTGCATATAATCCTTAATATCAGGGCTTCAATACTTGTTAACATTTGTGGTTCTGACTATAAATAATGCTCTTGTCGTTTAAGTGATTAGTGAGAATCGCGTCTCGCAGTTCTGCCTGAACTGAGCAGCCAGGCTCGCCCTTGAAACCTGATTCGAGACGAGATCGTCCATTTATTTCTTCGTTCATGTCTATGAACAGTCTTCACAACGTGTTTCTACGAGTATCATCACAACTCGGCAAGAATTTTGGAGGTTTGATAGCGACGACCCACGAGATTTCTCCAACTCCTGCAAATAATTCTTGGTCAGAAACCAGTGGCAGTGTTGAACTCGGCATTTTGAATGGGTACACATATATTAATCTTTGGCCTCGAAATATCATTCTCACTGATGTTATTTTCGTGCTGTGCTTCCCTCCCTTCAGCATGTTGTGCTCTTGATTAGTAAGGATATGCACAAGTATCCAAGCCCTTGGCTTGCACCATTCAGCGATGAGGAGCTGACCTTATCTTCGAAGCGAACCTCTCGAGGCAACGACATGTAATTCAAACATAGCATAGCATCAAATTTCCTAGGCTACCAAATATCCAGCCAGATATCTTTTAGCGATTCCTCTTCACGGCACTCCAATAGATTAATAAACAACATCACTACCACAGCAAAAGCCACAAAAGCATGCCTCCAAGCAAAGAAACCCCATCAGCACCTCAGACCTTCCATTCATTCACTCGCCTTCCCCCCGAAATACGGACACAAATCTGGAATCTAGTCCCCAACTTCTTCCCCAACACAATCCAAATCCGACCCCTCTTCACCCCTCGCACAACCTACTCCCGCGGCCCTCCAAGCCCCAAAGCCCTTGCCGCAACAAACTGGCGCATCAGAAGCACCACTCCTCCGATCCTCTTGCACATAAACCGCGAAGCACGCACCCACTTCCAAAAATTATTCTCAAGGCCATTTAATCGCTCCATCTCGCGCCATTCCTCAAGCCTAGTCTTTAATCGCGAGATCGACACTCTCTTCATCCATATCTACATGACGCCCAACGTCCCCTTCGACATCGCGGTTATCTTCCCTGCACTCTTCAGCCCTGCTGGCTTGGATGAGATGTACGCTTCTTTGCGTTTCTTGGCGGGAAACCAAGCTTTTTGGGAGCATATGTTGGCTTTTGTTACGCGGAGGGGTATGAAATTTCAGGGGCTTGAGACGGCTGTTTTGGTGCTTGATGAGGATGAGGATTGGGAGAGTGGGGATTTGTTGGTGGGGTTTGAGGAAGTGGATTTGGATGTGGATAGAAATGGGGATGGAGTGCATCGCCATGGTGATGATGATAGCGATAAGAATGTGTGGGAGGGGAAGTTCCCTTATGGGTTCCCATATCCGTATGCTGCGAGGAGGGTGATGCAGTCGGTCAGGCCGAGGATTGTAGAGATGGTCATGAAGGAACCACTAGGAGAGTGGCAAATAGTTTGGAAAAGTGATGTTAGACGGATGATGAGATGAGGCGAGACGACGAGATTGGATGGAACTTGATGGAACTACCTAGGTACTGCACACCATAATCTGCATTCACGTAACATCCCGCAAGTAATATTTGGACCTAGGACTATTCACGAATAGTATTTATCTTCTTTTCTGATTAATTGGAAGTAAGTTGATACCGTATTATTATATCAAAGGCCATCGATTTCCATGTCTCTGCGCGGGCAGAAAGCTAGAGAAAGAAGAAGACAAAGAACATCTGGCTTAAGCGAGATATTTGCCATTGTTCCTCGTAATGAAGAAGGAACTTCTTATAGTCTGGTTCTTGATAAATTTACCATTACTGACTACACGATCTAGTAAATGATGTAGAATTTTCTCGATTGGCTATCCCAAGAACCGTCGATACTATCTGTGGAACAGCTTGATGTGATAGGTCAAGGTTGGGAAATGAAAGCTCATTGAGAACTCTCAAATACCAGTTTCACTGACGTGACCTCCACATTGCACTTGGTCCTTCCACCGTTGCTTTCATTGCCCATGGTGCTATCCCCGTCTCCTTGGTTTCCAAACACAATTTCCATTCTCCTCTTCATCGTCACCTTCATTCGCCTATATTCCCAGTCATTTTTGTAAGACCCTCTCTGTTGCTTGATATCTCGCTTGAGGATGATTTTCCTATGCTTCGTCTCAATGCAGCTGTTGAAGGTTGACGGATTGAAGGAACTTGTCTCCGTGATGTTTTGTGCTGATGAATGGAAGAAGTTGTGAGCGATCTTCGCATCTCTTGTTTTTGGTGATAGTGGGGCAGCTTAATCGAGAACTCGTTCTGTCGGGATGAACCCACCTGGCATTCACCCACCCCACATGAGCATGCAACATTTAAATGTACAGCTAGGCCCAACTAGGACTAGCTCACTAACAAAACGCCTACATAAGGCCACGCTCTCTTTCCTGTATTCGTAGTCCCATAAAGGTGTGCGCGCAAAAGCAGGTTTGGGTTGCTGGTTGCACTGTCTGTGATACCAACACATTCACTCCTTCCTCAACTCAAATCGACTGTAAAGATGCAAACAATTATCTTACGCCTTTTTCTTTATTTTTCGAGAAAACCCATGTTCTACTAGAAATCTAATGTAAACATTTTGGCCGCAAAGACTCTGTGGAAAGTTATGCTCACCATCTCTTAGAATCCCAATTTAATCTGATCAGGTGAATTGCTTATTTTTTGCACACATAGTGCTAGATATTTCAAAGCTTTCAGGATAAAAATGTCAAACGGAGCCTTTATCTGGTCCCTTCCTCGTCTCATCAAAATCCTCGCCATCATTCCTACCGCCAACGGGCGAGTAGGATGCTCGTTGTTGGTCCAATTCTAGGGTCAGTCAAGCCAATTGCCGAAAGAAACTGGGTCCTAGTGTTCCGTAAGATTAGTGGGCCAGTCGGCAATACTTGGTTTTACAGACCGTCTACCTGCGCATGATTACCTTCGTAAAAGAATGCTCGCGGCCGCACCCCTCGCTTAAAAGTCAACAACAGCCACAACTTTCCAAAAAATTTTTGAAAAAAATACTTTTTGGGAGAGACTTACAAAGAAGCAGAGAAAAAAATGGCAAAACTCAGTAGACAACCCTTCGAAA